TGTACATCCTTCCATCGTCACGGCAAAAGCACAAAATCAATCTGCTGCTTCCATTTGTGCTGCGTTAAAGATCTGCTGCTGTGGATCGATACGCACCAACACTGGACCTGTGAGTGTGTGTGTGAGTGTCAGTGTGTGTGTGTGAGTGTGTGTGTGTGAGGGTGTGTGTGTGTGTGTGAGGGTGTGTGTGAGTGTCAGTGTGTGTGTGTGAGTGTGTGTGTGTGAGGGTGTGTGTGTGTGCTCGCTGCCTCTCATCTTGTTCAACAGCACATTCACTGTCACATTTACAAATAAAAGCATTAGCAGATCAATAGCAGAGGATTATGGGCCGTGGACTGGACTCGGTCTGTGATTCCAGGTTGTTGTTACACTGATGTGATAATAGTGATAATAACATCACATTGATTTTTCATACAGCCTGTCGGCTCCCAGACAGTTGATGAAGCGACTGACGCAGGACTCCTCAGCTCAGCCATCGCTCAGTCACCTGGTCTTCCAGCTGTCCTCTGTGACACGGTCCATTTGTTTCACTCGGTTACTGCTCTGATTAACTAGCCGCCGCTGTTCCTTCTTTGTCGATGACAACATTAATAATTCAGCTGCGGTTCATTAGAGTACGATCATTAAAACCCCAGCTCTGAGCGGGACACCTGAACGCAGCATCGATTTTCTCTAGATCTGGACATAAATCCATCTGTCCAAGGTCTTTATGTCCACTTTGTTTAAAGTCTCAGTGTCAGAGTGAGACCAGGTGACGGAGACAAACAGGCCTGACATTTCATCAGGGATCGATAACCACAGCAGGAGACGGACGAGTCAACAGGTGGAGGGAGGGGCTTAGGAAGTACCGACTGTGAGCTGACGCTGAACCCACTGAGAGGGGGCGCTGTTGACACGGTAACAGCCGCAGCTAGGCTAACGTCGCTCCCACGGCTGCCAACTCTGATCCTAACGGGAATCACACTGACTCTACGTACCACAGGAAGTCCAGGTGACACCAGTGGTGTGCACACCATAGTTTGAGAACCACCGGTCTAAAAAAGTCGAAAAGCCAAAAGTTGAGTGAGAAGAAGCTGAGACGTGGCTAACAGTGAGCAGCTCCACATCAGTCAGTTCACTGAGAACTTTGTCTGAAGCTAATGAGACATTTCTCCTCCACGCTGGCTGAGGAACCGCAGAACCTCCACCTAGACACACACACACACACACACACACATACCAATTCATCAGCGCGGCCTAATCTATTGAAGTGTTAAGCTGCACATTAATAAAGCAGAGGGACAGCGGTCGTGCACACACACGTGCACACGCTCCACACTGCAGTGGTGACTGCGTTCAGATCCATGGTCTGATTTATGGAAGGGAATAAAACTGCTGTGGAAATAAACACACACAGAGCAGCAGCAGGAAGGAGCAGTCCAGCCTGAAAACAACAACAACAACAACAACATGATGATGATGGAGACGCTGTCGTTAACACTATGAAGAAACAGGTTTACATTTGTATATTTACTAACATTTGTTTCTGTTTATTGTTTCTATTTAATTTAGGAAAAGGTTAAACATTGAACCAAAGTCCATAGAGAAAATCAGTGATTTTAGTTCAGACCAAAGTCCATAGAGAAAATCAGTGATTTTAGTTCAGACCAAAGTCCATAGAGAAAATCAGTGATTGTAGCTCAGACCAAAGTCCATAGAGAAAATCAGTGATTTTAGCTCAGACCAAAGTCCATAGAGCAAATCAGTGATTTTAGCTCAGACCAAAGTCCATAGAGCAAATCAGTGATTTTAGCTCAGACCAAAGTCCACAGAGAAAATCAGTGATTTTAGTTCAGACCAAAGTCCATAGAGAAAATCAGTGATTTTAGCTCACAGACAGAGGAGTTGTTGGTCCACTGCTGCCTCGTGTGGTTATCTCGTGTCACAGGTACATCTGAACAACTTATGTCAAACAGTAATGTTGACAGTAAGACATTAGACCTCATTAGACTGAGGCAGCAGTGGATCAACAACTGCTGCTAAAAATCACATATTTTTTCTTTGTTGGACAAAAGTGAAAAACTGCATAAATGTGTAAAAAAATAGAGGAGGAAAGTTAAAAGAGATGTTCCTTATCACTGTTTCCTGTGTCCTGACCTCAGACATTTATCAGATTTTTCTTAAAGACACAAGCTGAACAAATGAAGGTTGCTCCAGATTGGAGGCCGGCGAACAGGATAAGAGCAGAGATAAGGCTAATGAAGTGACCATGTGACTTCAGTGGTGGGGCAGATTCATTACCTCTGCCCTTCAACCAGCTGCAGCATGTCTTCTTCATCTTCAGGAGTGAATTTTAAAACCTGGTGGTTGTCTGTGGCTCAGCAGCTTTGAACATGCTTTTATCATCAGAGGCTGCTGCTAATGAAAATCACCCCGGGCTGATTTTCTGGCCTTTATTAAATCACAGCATGGAGAAGGATTTTGTTATGCACGTGCTGCTGTTTCCCTTCGGCTCAGATAAAAAATAAAATAAAATTATAGCCCAAATATTGAAAATTTGTCCGTGACGCTCGCCCTGCTGGAGAATCAAGATTTAACGCCTTCAGGCGGTCGAAGCCGACGGAGCAGAGAAATAATATAATACAGGAGGTGAGTGTGGAGGCAAACGCTGCACTCATACAGTCATGGTGTGTTTCCACCTCCAACCAGCAGGGTCAGAGAGGAGCAGGGGTGAGGAGCAGGGGTGAGGAGCAGGGGTGAGGAGGAGGGGTGAGGAGGAGGGGTGAGGAGCAGGGGTGAGGAGCAGGGGTGAGGAGCAGCGGTGAGGAGCAGGGGTGAGGAGCAGGGGTGAGGAGGAAGGGTGAGGAGCAGCGGTGAGGAGCGGGGGTGAGGAGCAGGGGTGAGGAGGAAGGGTGAGGAGGAGGGGTGAGGAGCAGGGGTGAGGAGCAGGGGTGAGGAGCAGGGGTGAGGAGCAGGGGTGAGGAGCAGGGGTGAGGAGCAGGGGTGAGGAGCCTAATTCTCTTAACAGGAGCTTCACACTGACACACAGACACAGACACAGACACAGACAGAGGGGTGGTGGCTGTAGTCTGTTCTGACCTCAGCTGGACTCAGACACCGTGGACAAACACAGGTGTCAATGACTGGAGGAGATGCTACATGTTAGCAAACGGCTACAAGAATGAGCTTAGTCAGCCAATCAGCT